TCATTCAAACATTGCCTCTCGATCATTCCGTTAGCGATAAATGTTTGCTTTGATAACTCATTCCTGTTTATTCGCTTAATAGAATTACATGTCTGTCATAAAGAGCAATCCTTTGTTTCATATCTCTTTATTCAATTTAGAGGACTTATTATCCTCCTTTTCCTAATCCTTTAGATCGAGATGTCTTCAAGGAAAGAACCTAGCACGAAGAACAACGACCCTTCATCTCCACCCTCGTCTCGCTTCGACCCTGTGATGTTCCACTTGGCTGTTTCTACTGCAGTGATGGCTGCAATGACGATCTTGAACCATAACAAGTCTATTGGTCCAGGATATAACTCTTACCCCAAAACCGTGAAAATATTCAGAAGCATCAGAATGAGTTTGATAAGAGTAATAAGGTTATCTTGAAGAAGCGAAAGGGTCAGAGTTCCCAAGGACCCTCCAAGAATCCCAAAAATGTGGCAGTCCAAGTTACTACCAATCCTGTCACTGTTCCTAAAGTTCAAGCTACCACTACTCCTGTTATTTCGTCTAAGGCTCAAGAACCTATCACTGGGTATGCTGGTAATCTCCCTTGGTGCAGCAGGTGTAGTTATCGTCACCGTATTCCTGGCGCATGTTGCAAGATGATTTGTAAACACTGTGGCAAGCAAGGCCATCTTGCTAGAAGCTGCAGAACCCTAGTACAACACCTCGAACAAACTTCTGAGTCAAGTATCGAACAGGTCTGTTATAAGTGTGGAGAAATTGGGCATTTCAAGCAAAACTGCCCAAAAGCAACAACCCCCAACAATGTCAACAACGCTCGGATGGTCTTAACTTTGAAGCAGGAGGAGACATCCGCTGATCCCTCTAACGTCGCGGGTATATTTCTTTTCGACAATCCTTGTCCTCGCATCCTTTTCGAATTCGGTGTTAAGAAAATTTTATTAACCATTCATTCATTTATTTTGTTAGACATAGTCCTCGTCTAATAACCAAATCAATGATCGTCAAGATAATTATCAGTGAGAACGAGTGCATAAACAACATATCTCTACATTGTGTCCTTACCTTGAGTAATCATTCATTTCTTCATTAACCTGATGTCAGTTTCAGTGAGAGCTTTGATGTTATCTTCATTTATGTATCGATTGAGCCCGACTGTGTTGATACATCTCGTTATAGAAAACCGTTTGTCTCAATCTTCCTTCTGATCAGACCCTCATAATTTATGGTGACGAATTTAGCCCAAACCTTCGCTTCGTTCAATGTGTCAAAATGCGAAAGTTCATGCGAAAGAAGTGTCAAGTATTCCTAGTCCATATGATCAGTGAGAAACAAGGACTTAAAGACACTGATAGTAAACTTGATAAGGCATGGAAAACTTAGTCTGTGGTACATTAGACCCTTTTAGATTCCCTTTCAGATTGATTCCTTAGCCTTCGGCTCTGAAATACCTTCAGTAATTAGCAGCGTTCATCCCATACCTTGCACCTCTGTCCTTAATGAATACTTGCCTGATAAAACCACAGAAATCCATTCTAGTGTGACCAAGAACCTTAATATACCCAAACTCCCTGGACGAGCAAACTAAGATCATAGACCAAGTAATCAAGCATTTGAAACCGAGCCACATCCTGTTAGTGAAGGTTCCAAGCGAGAACCTGAATTCACATGGGAACGTGAAGACCCCATATAGCAGACACATCCACACCCCCCCCCTTTGTCCATAATTTTGTATCTAAATTCTTGAATTTCGGGACAAAATTCCCTCTAACGGGGGGATAATGTAACAACCCGAAACTTTGCTTCCTCGCCGTAACCATTCCGTCAAAACCCGTCTTAAACGAATTGTTCCGAATTCGTCCTGAATTAGGTTAATTAAGTCAAAACCTTTATTTTGACTTTGTAAGTATCAAAACATGTTGGAAAAATGTGAAAACGTCCCGAACTAGTAATTTGAAAAATTATAGTTTCGACCATATCGCGTAACAACAACTTAATCGGGTGCGACCAAAAGCCCCGTTTAAGGTCAGTATCGGGTAGAATTCCTCCGTGTCCAAGTCTTTGGACCTATATAAACGTGTTTAAGCACCCATTTGAAGCTTTTTCTTCCTCTCTCTACTCTCTCTCTAACCTCTCTCCTAAATCCAAAGTTAAGGGTCCAAATTATCAATTTAAGGCTCCAAATCTTTGAGGTACCTTCCATAACTTGTTGTACAACCTCTCTAGCTTTAGAATTCGAGTTTGAACATTTGATTAGGACCATTATTATGAGTTTACGGCCCTAGAACAGTACTAGGCCGTAAACTCAAGAAAATGGGGTTTTTAGAGCAACAAAACCCTTGCAAACCTCAAATGGACCTTAGACATGGCTAAATGACTTTATGGAATGGACTTAGAATGCCTTAAACTATAACTTGAAGCATTGTATATGAGTTTACGGCCATTGAAGGTGCCTAGGCCGTAAACTCACATTTAAAGGGGTTTTAAGCCCTTAAACCCTCCCTAAACTCAATCAAGCCCTAGTTATGATTTTTAGAAATTATGTAATGGACTTGGAACTCATTAAACATCAATTTTGAGAGGTTTATATGAGTTTACGGCCAAGGCATATGCTTGGGCCGTAAACTCCTCAAACATGGGTATAAAATCACTTCTAAGGTGTTAGAATGCCATCCAACACCACCAAAAGCCTTGGAATAAATTAGGGAACCAACCAAAAATAGTTTAGAAGCCTTAAACACATCATAAACCCTCTAATTGAGAGTTTACGGCCAGAGCATATGCTCCTAGGCCGTAAACTCATAGATGTATGTCATTTGAAGCCCTAAACTCACCCTAAGCCTTGTAAAAATTAGTTGAATCACATGTGATTAATCCTTGGCCTTCAAATTAATTTAGATGGATGTGGGTAAGAGTTTACGGCCGTAAACTCTTAGTTTACAGCCATAAACTCTTCTATTAATCCATATAATGATTTAATCCCTTTCAAATGTCCAAAAGCCAAACCTAGCAACACCCATTATTTGATTTAAGGCCATTTTCCTCATAAAAACACCTACCATGAGTTTACGGCCGTAAACTCATGGGGATGTGGTGTTTAGGCCGTAAACACTCCCTAAGAGTTTACCTTTGAAGAATAAACTCTAAGTCCTAGCCATTCATGTCCTAAAACGCCACCCGGGTCACTTCAAACGACCATTTTGGAGTGTTTCCGCGTCTTAGATTGTTCAAGTGTATCTAATTAGTTATTTAAATCTAATTAGCTATATATTGTGTATTATTTAATATTACATAGGACACTTTCCGCATCCGGTGAGTTCATACCCCTACCCTTTTTCAACTGTTTACACTGTTTTCAGGGGGGAAATACAAGCAAAAGTACAAGGAAATCTTGTACTCAAACTTATTGTTTTCAGTTTAATCATTTTCATTCTGTATGTTCTAATATCAATAACTGTGTTTATCAAGTAGTTCGAATTACGAATTTAGCTTTCAAACTAATCATAGATTTCTCGGTAAAATGTTCTAATCTAAACTATGTTTCATAATCTAAGAATAACTTATACTAATTTCCATTTATAACTAATTACGAATACGAATATGAATACGAAGCTATAACTAGGATTAGAACGAATACGAAACTATAATTAGGAACAGAATGAATACGAATACGACCGCGAATACGAATACAACTGCAAATATTAATACGAATACGAATAGTATTAGGAGTAGAATTAGGGATAGGAATGCGACTATGAATACGACTGCGAATACGAATACGACTGCGAATACGAATACGAATACGAATAGTATTAGGAGTAGGATTAGGGATAGGAATGCGACTACGAATACGACCGCGAATACGAATACGAATACAAATAGTAATAGGAATAGGAATAAGGAAACGAATACAGTAACGAACACAAATACGAACACGAATAAGTACAAGAATATGTTTAAGAATAAGAACACGAATATGAAGATATCTATCTAGTATACTCCAAGATAATACCATTAGACTTTCAGAATACCTAGTTAATACAATAGGTACAAAAAGAAATAAATCAGTATATCGAAGTTCAATAACTAACATTTACTTTAGGAAAGTACGGGACTTTCCTGGGGAAAACATAACATTACTTAATCACATGTACATCTTTTACATCTTTAACATCGTTCACATTAGAAATCAACATGCAGGAAAGCATGGGGCTTTCCTGGGTAACACTTATATAACTAGAAATAGTAACAAACTGAATAACATTACATCTTTTACAATTAGTAATATACAATAAGGAAAGTATGGGACTTTCCTGAAATCATAGATAAACAACCAGAACCGTGTAACCTAGAAATCGATCAAACTTCTCTTTTAAGAAAATATAGGATTTTCTTGGATAATAACTTTTCGGTAAACTAAAGGAAACTCGTACATTTTCACAAAGTAAACATCTTATGAACTCACCAGCTTTATGCTGATTTTCAAACTGCTTGTATTCTCAGGTCCGCTTTAGACAGGTACCCGATGATCTCTTTTGGTGAAGACGGAATGCATAGAAGATTCGTCTATCTTTTGTTGAAACTATGTATCTATGAAAAATTATGCTACTTTACTTTTCAACTGATGTAATGAAATCTATGTAATATTTATGTTTATGTTTTACTTCGCTTACTATGTACATTGGTTATGATTCTCATGAAGTCACCTCCGCCCCGAGACGTTTCTGCCTTCGGTTTCGGGGTGTGACAATGATAACCACCACCACCACCATATCCATGGTTCCATTACCAAAGACTACCTAGAAAAGATTCAGAAAAATTAGTAATGAAGAAACTATAGGAAGACTGAAGATAATATTATTGAAAGTGATTATGTAAAGTGTGAACAAAGGGGAAGAAGATTCTCTGTTGTAACTTGTTTCTTGGAGGAGATTCTCTGTTGCTAACTTGTCTGTTTTTAGACTTTCCACCTTGTTCTCTTAAACCAAAATGAAGACTTCAATGAGGATTCACACAACATCCATTGATAGCAGCAAATCAGGAAGCACAATGGTCCAATCCCATTCAAGTTTCTTTGGACCTATCAACAAGATAAGAATACAAAATTCTTGTCATGATGGAAAGATTAAAATTTAGTAAGATTTAAAATGAAAATGATTATAAAAATAAAAGAAAATTTAAACCAGCAACCAATTAAAAGATGCATGGACCATTGTATTTGGCAGTAAGTAAGCAGCAACTGATAACCACAACATCAAACTTTTCAAAGAATTCAAACAGATACGAAATAATTTGGTCCAGGAACGTTCCTGGACAAAATGTCATAGTTGTTCCTGATGATTGAACTGAATTCATAACAATCCATAAGTAAGGAATCAAACCAACTAGTTTCTTATAACTTTGTGATACTACATGCATTCAATATAAAATCACCGAAAGCAAAAAGGAAATATTTATCTGTTTTCACAAATCCTGCCACCAAAGCCCTAGGCAACACTGCAATCCAATTATCTCGGTTAAGTTAGTAGTAGTATGCAATAATAATAACTATATTCCATCAAGGAAAGTCAAACTAGAACATACAATTGACTTGAAACTCTTTATGACGGATTCAAAGCTTTAAGGTTTATCTTCTGCAAAACCAGAGACAAAAGTCAGTTCCATAAACAATGTAGAAGAAAAAAGGTCTAGTCAAAAGTCAAATGAAAGAGAACAATGGTTATAACTTACGTATAGATAGATGGTATATATGTACAAACAACTTGCAGCAACTATCAAATAGCAAAACACAAGAATTACTCCCTTGAAGTAATTGGATGTTCCATCCTACAAATATATAAAAGAACCATTTTTAAATGAAAATTTTAATTAATCAAATTTTTGTAAAAATATATGAATATGAGGCTTACTTGCAACATGAAAGCCACTACTAGAACTGTGATAATAAGAGTTGTTGTCTCAAAAAGTTGAAAATTTAGGTCCAAAGGACGCCCCATGATCCACCCAACAACCACACAAATGGAATCTGCAGTTACAAACACAAAAATTTTAAAATAAAAGTTAGTATTTGTTTAAATTATGCTGCTATTTCTTTAAATTAACCTTTCTTTTAATATACAGAGAAAAAAACACGTACAACAAACATAGATATTTGTGTTGAGGAGCCAATCGTGACTCCTAAAGAGATATCCTACAAAGATTGTAACTAAAAATATTTAAAAAACTAAATAAAATGAATTATGATTCTTGTAATGACTAATAACTTACAAGCTTGTCTTTCATGACAAACATGATGGAACTTGCATGTTCTGCTGCATTTCCAACAATAGGAAGAAGTAGGCCCCATATGTAATAAACATTACAGAACTGCTAAATCTTGAAAGGGCCAATTCTAACCTTCCCAAATGCAATTCAATGTGTGTGAAGTGAAGAATAGCAAGGAGTAACAGACCCATCACTTCCATTAACAACAACCCTTAGCTCATCACAACATTTGGCTGCAAAACGTGTTCCTTTTTAGGAAGAAAGATTCAAGAACAAGCAACATGTTTGCCAAAATTGACCCTAGTAATGATTGTTGCACAACACATAGCATACCATGGAATTGAATTCCTTCACCCTCCCCTAGGAATAGTGAAATACATCAAACAAGGAATTAAATTGTATCTCGAATATGTCAAAAATATAGAATTTTTTTTTTTAAAAATGAAGCAAACAAACAATCAAGACTAAGTGGTATAAAAAGAAATCGAATTACTATGATGCATCTGTCAAATTCTTGATATTTTTAAGCAAACAGACTCACCCAAACATGTTTTAAGCTTCAAAAATATTTCATCCCGACTCCTGCTTGAAACTTTACTAAGCCTATCCTGTAATGAGTGTCGAAGAGCACCTGTTGGTGGACAAAAAGAGCATTCAGATTCAATAATCACATATATATATATATATATATATATATATATATATATAACCCTATTACTAAATGTGTGTTTATGTGTGTGTCGAATTGGCTTAAGCCCTTAAGTATGACATGAGGACTTACCTGCAGACACAGGTTGGGATTTTCTATCAATCTGCATTACAATTGATTTGCTGCTTAAGTTACCATCCCTCTTTAATTCAATACATATAGGTGCGCGAGTTGCACCACCTTCACCAGTTGGCTGCTCAACTTAATTTGAAAATTGAAATGACTTGTTTTGTTATCATAATGAATTAGAAAAAACATAAAGTGAATATATATGTCCAGATTGAATATGAAAATAAAGAAAAATGAAGGTCGTACCAGAGCAAGATGCCCAATCAAACTGTTCAAAACTGCTAATTTACCTGCACTCTGAATAATTGGTAGCCCATAATTAGAAATGAACTATTTAAGATCCATAAATTGGTAAACCTGAAAAAGCAAAAGGGAAGGCTAGCAAGATCAGATTGGCTCCATGATTAGCTAAACAGTAGACCCCTAGCAGTTGATGAGTGGAGCTTGATCTAGTAGAAAGCATAATGCAAATTAATACTTCGACATATGGCATTAAGCAACAGTAGATGAGTTTCTGCTGCAAGCAATAGTTTTGAATCACCTATATGCTAAATTGGAATCTAAGCAAAAATAGTTCCCAACTACATTTAGAAAAAGATCCATCAAAATAGGGATCGCAACAAAAACATATCGAGAGATCCACTGACTTAGTCAATCAACACAAAAGCAAGTAGTCGGATCAAAAGAGTGCATGTAAGACAAACTTACGGTATTGCCAAGAGCAACAAAATTAAGAAATTTGGAAGGGTGTTTTGAAGAAGACGATGACTTTGCATCAACATCTTCATCGTTAAGCAAAGCCACAGCCTGTCGCATCGAATCTGCAAGTTGAGCCAATTCTTCAATCTACCAAGCTTGCATTGAGGGACTATAAGGTTAGGCAAAAAAAGTTGGATTGCCGGTGAAACAATCACCTGCGAATCGGAAAAAAAATAATAAGAAGGGAGAAAAAGGGTTGTAATCGAACCAGAGGAAGAAAGAGGAAGAATAGGCACATCTTTTCTTTCTTCTTTTTTTCTTTTCGATCTCAAACTCTGGCTGTAAATAGAAAAGCGCGAGAGATATTGAGAGAATAGACACAAGAGAGACAGAGATATTGATTCAGTTACGATTGAGAGGTAAGAACATCTAATCATTTGAAGAAGAAGGAATTTGGATGGGCGAGGTGGGGACGAGGAAAACTTGTTTCCTGTGAGATCCAAAGCACAAAAGTCCTAGTTTTTCCAATTTTGGGATGGCGTGTCTTTGACATGTGAGAACGTGGGTGAAGGCGGGGGACCTACGGCTTCTTGTTGGAGGCGCTGGAGGTGGGTGAAGGAAGAGGCCCTAGGGCTTCTTGTTGCTAATTCGAAGATCAACATCGATGGTAGAAGGTGGAGGCAGCAATAGAAGGAACAAGGTAAAAAGAGAGGAGATCAAACCATTTGGTGTGAGGGTCGATTTGGAAGAAATCTCAAACCCTTAACCTTAAACATGATGTGAAGCAATTGATCCATAATCTTCTTCGTCTCCGTCAATTCCTTGGGCTCACATAATCGGACGATGGTGGTAAATGAAGCATTATTCGAGAAGGAAGGTGCATCGCCGTAGTTTGAGGCTAGAAGAGGAAATGAGGATTGGAGGTAGTGGATGTGGATGAGGGGTGGAGACGAGGGAGAAGAAGGTGGGGGTTTAAAAATTTTGGGGATTTCATTTTCCCTCGGACACGCGCGTTTCTTAAAAAAAATATAAAACGACATTCACAGATGACGCACAAGTGCCTTCAGTGTTTTTAATATTTTTACATGAGACACTAATTTAAAGGCACTCAGTAATGCGCGACCTAAATCCTTAAATTTTTTGAAGAGATGATACTTTTTTAATGTCACTCTTTAATGCGTAACATAAATCAAAGAGCGTCGTGTTTTGCGCGTCGTAAAAGGCTGTTTTTCTAATAGTGTACAATGTGGCATTTGGTTGCCACGTTGTGGTGACTGGGCTCAGATTGGCTATTTTGTCATCTTGTGTCCATGGCGTGGCCAGTGAATGCCACGAGGTTGACTGTGGCATGTTGACCTCTTTCACTTAGGTCTGGATTGGGTTTAGATCCATGGGTCACAATGTGGCCAAGGATGCCCACAACGTGATGAATCAACTTTTATCGTTGACTTTGACTTTTTACTTGTGTTTACTTTTGGTCAAACCCCTTGTCTTGGAAGAAAATCTAAGGGTCTACTTTATATGGTTGTATTGCTGGTTTGTAGCATTAGTATTCAAAAAGTAGGAGTCGTTGTAGTTGATCATCATTTGTTAGGTGAGTCTCTTCACTGTACTTGTGGGTCGAAGGCACCAATGCCATCCCAATGCATTATCTTTGTAGGATGATAGTTCTCTTTGTGACACTTACAATCATGCATGTATATGCTTGCTGCCTTTGTGACTCTTGTTGATATGATTCTATGCTTAGTTGTAGGTGTAAAATAGACTCGATACAGGTTGAAAGATACTAAAGGGAGGTGAAATCGACCCAGTTCCGGTTGAAAAATACCAAACGGGTTGAAATAGATGTAGTACCAGTTGAAAGTGACCGAAGGGAGTGGGTGAAATAGACTTAGTACCGCTTGAAAGATACCAAAGGAGGTGAAATAGATGCAGTATTTAGCTTTGAACTGTTATGCATGTATGGTAAGGGGTATTTTGGGGGAACTAACTAAACTTTGTGCTTACAGTTTTATATTTATGGTCTCAGGTACTTCCGATTTGAAAGGAAAAGGACTAGCATGATCGCACCACATGCACCAGCATTCTACATTTTATAACATGATTTATACTCTTATAACTACTTTATATATAATCACATTTTGATGGATCTTTGAAATGAGAACATGATGTTTCTATTGGTTTTAAAAATAAAATTTCTACTAGGTAAATTTTGGGATGTTACAAGTTGGTATCGGATCATTGGTTTGAGGGATTCGGGCACATTCTCAGGTGTGCTTAATATGACAACCGTCAAAATTTGAGACAGTTCTGGATTTCGAATAAATTTAGTTGCACATATAGGAACGACACATACTAGACTTTGTAACTAGGAGATATGTTATAACCTACTAGAAACTTGGAAACAGGTAGAATCAAAGCATAATGTACTTTGATTTCACATTGGTATGTGAATTCTACAATTACTTAACTGTAACGACTTTCTATATTTGGGTCATTCTTTGACTTGAACATCTTTGCATGAATCATGTAGACACATCATGCACTTGACCTAGTAGTATAAATTACATCCAAGTCTCATAGAAACTTAAGTCAAGGTTGAAACTATGACTAGTATACTTTGTACTTCAATTTCACTTGAATCTTGGAACCACTACATAGAATACAAATAATCTAATTTCAATCAAACTATGTAACTTTCTACAAAATATAATTATTTTATTTTTAGAAATTTGATTGTTTTCAAATATTAAACTCAATTCATTATGGTGTTAATTGTATGTCCCAAATTTTCTTATTGTATCAATCCGATCCACTTGAAGGTACACAATCTAAATCAAGAGGATGATGCAAGATCGAATGGAGGAAAAGAACAAGAACAAAAACAAGACAAATCTTCAATGTATTCAATAATTTGAATGACGATCCGGTTACATAAGATTCATACGCACACTTGCACCTCCTCTCTACTTTCTGTCTCTAGAACACAATTATCATAATGATAGCTTCTTCTCTGACCGAAAAAGTCCACTACTTTTTCAATGCCTCCAAAAACACGCCTCTTCCACCCTATTTATTCATATAGACTAAATCCGAAGTCCAAAACCCAATGGTTAGACCAAAATTACATGTGATTTCGGTCCAAGCTACAATAAAACCCAATAATGTTTTCAGCCGAAAACCGAAAACAACAAAAGCCTAGAAAAGGAAAGCATAAACCATATTTTAGACCCAACAATCTCCCCCTTGATTTATAGCTTTATTTTCTTATGACTTGAAACCCTCGAAGAATTCCTATTTCGACATAATTGGTCCCATTAGTACGCTCGGTGTACTTGTGAGTATGCTTAGTGTACTTTAAATGGAGGATCACGGAGGAGTCTTATGTACATTGGGGATACGTAAGGGTACGCCGGGCATACGCATCAGAGGGCCAAAACCCTAAATCTTGGACTTGTCCCCTATTTAGACATCTTTTAGTCTCTTGGAACAAACCTTATCAGCCTCTTTAGCCACATTCCGTCTACCTTCAACTGAGATTTTGTGTGTGAGGGTTTTAAGCTTAAGGAGTGGGTTTTTTGTGGCCATTTTAGAGTTCTTTCAAGAAGAGGAAGTGGTCAACCAAGCTTGGGATGGTTTGGTGCTTCAAGAATCTGCATCTTCATCATCTTGTAGAGCTTCTAGAGGTAAAAAGCTTGCACCTTTCCACTTAAATCTCTATATCTAGCTAGGGTTTTCTAGTTTTGTCCCTTCGGTTCATTTTGGACCTACACTTGTGAGTTAAGAAACTCTAGAAGATGGTAATGACATATATGTGGTCCCTTGGTCCTTTAGTATCATCACAAGGGGACAAAACTGCAAATTTGGTCCCTATGGTATGCATTTTGGGGGGGGGGGGGTTCAGTCCAAACCCTGACTCTTTTGGATTAGTAGTCCTTTTGAGCTAGCTTCGTTGCGTTTTTGGTCTCTCTGAATAGTGAAATGACTGTAATACCCTTGGGGTATTTAGTTTCCATTTTCCATTTTTCTTTCATTTCTTTTTTAAATATAATATTAATGTATTTATTTTAATAATTAAAAAAATAAAAAGTGGCTCTCTCTCTATATTACGAACGAGAGGGGCATAGTTTTTAGCCCAAAATCCATTGTTATACATCGTCATTTCTATGCATCTTTACGCCTTAATTTAGATTTGTTTTTCTTTTTGGAAATCGATTCAAATGGGTTCACATTCTTGGGTACGATCAAATTTTCATTTTTGGAAATTAGTTAGCAGGTAATGTGGAAAGCTATATGAAGATGAACAACTGATTTTCTAGGTTTTCTCTACACGAACAATCAAAAATTTGGGTTTGGTTCTGGAACTAAAAATCAATGTTTGAATCTGATAAATGATTATGCATCTTCAAGAACAATCGATTTCTAAAAATTTGATTCATATGTGTGTTTTCATATTATTTATAGGTTTAGGGTTAATGGAATCAAAGAAATAAAGGATGGCACTAAATAAAATCCAAGTTGAATCATCCTATAACTTGAATAGACCACAAGAATCAGAGCTATAATTGAAGGTGAATCGAGAACACGATATCATGAGAGGCTCATATCTGCGACTTTGGGATCGAAATCTGAGAAAGGGGATCGAACACACCATGGCTGCATTTTGTGTGTGTGTGTGTGTGTATGTTGGATCAACAAGTATGTATTTCTTTGTATATTGAAGAAGATAAAGGCATAAAAGTATTATGGTACCTGAGGTTTGAAGATGGGGATGTGGATTTTGATAGATTTTTTTCCGGGTTCATTTTGTGTTCTTCCATTTGTGTTCATAATCACCTTCAGCCTCTACCTTTATCAACCGAAGAACTATGTGCCCAAGTGATTCAGCAACCTACAATCTTGGTTTGCTCCTTTCAGGTAGCGGAAGTAGGCAAGAAGAACACAGTGTTAGCAAGGTTCACAGACCTATAGCCACTGCCTCGATCTTGGATGGGTTCTATTTGGAGAGTGAGTGAGAGAGAGAGAGAGAGAGAAAGATAGAGAGAGGGGGAGGAGGTGGGTCCTCATATATTTTAATTATTAAAATGAATAAATGATTATTAAACATTTAAAAAATGATTTTAAAAATAGAAAATAAACACCCCAAGATTATTTAAGTTATTTCAGTTTATTGAGGGACCAAATCAGCAACAAAACTAGCTCAAAAGGACCACTAATGCAAAAAATTCAGAGTTTGTACTAAAACCCCCAAAAAAATGCATAATATAGGGACCATTTTTGCAATTTTGTCTAAAAATGGAGTCTTGATGGGAGTTTTGGCCTCATGCATTGGTTAAAGACCTTGGAAAGGTCTTAATAGAGGTGTTGGGTGTATACGAGGCTTGCAAACGAATAAAGCTGCCAACTTGATGCCTTAGGATGTCTTAACAAACTTTGATCTGGCTATTATACGTAATGGAATTGAGTATTAAGCACTTAATGGAGAAAGTGCTTAACCTGGTAGTATGTTGGGTGTAACCAAGTGTATGTTGCACGCAGTCCCAAGACCCCAGTAGGCTACATGTACTAGGATGGTACACTAAGTGTACGCACCACAATTGGGCCCAAATATGTTTTGGGCCTTTGAGCTATTAGGCCTCATTTGGTTATTGGATATGGTTGTATTCTTGGAATTATGAGTCATTTCATTTGTTATGGGCCATGGACATATTGATTGGGCCTTACAGGTCCAAGAGACCCATTAATGATCTTGGACTTGGACTTTGGGGCGCATTAACAAGGGAAGGATATTGGGCCTTATGTAAGGGTTTGGAGTTTGGGTTTCCTTTGATTAATTAAAGTCCTAACATTTATAAATATTATTATTCAGCATGGGAGGTTACAGACGATTAGGAGCACAAATTTTGTGTTCAACGGACAGATGTGAGTCTTCTCACCATACCCATGGGTCTAAGGTGCCAATGCCGACCTATTATGTGATTATGATATATGTGTTAGTCACTTAGTAATTTGATATGATATGTGATTGTGTGTTTTGCAT